TCAGAGAACGCGGCGGGATTAATAATGTGTCCCGCTCTTCTCCATGCTCTGTGGCAACCAGAACTGCAACTGTGGGTGAGTTGTCTGGGCAACTCAGTCTTTTATTTAATGTTCGTGAAATACTGGAGACACTAAAGTGATTGCCTTGTTAAACCCATAAGACTTCTTTCCCACCCTTCAAGGGGAGTGTCTTGGAGTCACTGTGATGTAAAAATCAAACACTGGTAAAAGGACCTTCCTCTATCCCGTCTAATCTTTGTATCTTTTTAAGTTGGTGAAAAGAAGAAAATCATAATATACAGGAGCGAGGACAGGTGCCAACTAGAGTGCAGTGGAAAGCTCACTGCAGTTCCTGCCACAGCTACCTTACCCCCTAGTTGGGCCACCTAAGCCACTGAACTTTCAGCCCTAAATCCCTCACCTACAAGTGGGGCAATGTCTCTCTTCCCAACCTTGTTCTTGCCTCAAATGAGATAATGTGTATAAAGCAATACAGAATTATGTCAGCCTCGTGGTAAGAAAAGATTATCTTTTGGTGGAAGATCCCTTGTTCTGAGGATTCAGTAAAATGTGCAGTCGGCATGTGATGGTCCTGTGTCCACAGTGATGGGAAAGCATTTCTGGGACCCTCTTCCCTCAGCAGTCGTATCTGAGATAGCTGGCTCTGCATCTTTCCCTTGACACTCGATCTCTGCTTCAGGTTCCCATTATCCCTGAGAACCACGTCAGTGGAGATGGGCAGGGAAGTTTTTTTAAGAAGACTGCACAAGATTTGAAATCTTTGCCTAGTGACCAATCATTCTGGTGAGCTTAAGCAAGATCTGAATCTTAGTTTCTCCATCTGTAGCATGGAGATGATAATACTGCCCCCCCACCCACCCTGAAGAGGTTCCTTGTGGTTAGAAATAGTGTGTGTAGGCCCCTTGCAGCTCAGTGAAGAGCCTCTAGTAGCCTGATCGTGCATAATGGTTTCTATGAGGCAGCCAACATGGTACAGTCCTGGGAGGACTCATTTGAGAACACATGGATGGGCTTGTCTCAGTTGAAACCCCAATTGGCAGTTATTCATGGGGGGAGGGGAGTCAGGTCGGTGGTCCTCCTCAGGACACAGTGATCAGAGCTCAGCATTAGGCTCCATGTCTTTTAAAGTATCATGTGTCATTAACAAATTCATCCCCACTTAACTCTTACCAAAGCTAATTATAGTACCGTAACCGTTAGAAATTCTATACTTTGTGAAGGAGACACTGTCCCGAGGGCTTAAATGACATCAGATCCTTTTTCCTTAGGAAATGATTCCCAAAGAGACCAAATGTCATTTTTCAAACACTTCTAAATGCAGAATCAAAAGGCCTTATTTCACAGAAATGAAATGTTCAAGTTTTGTGTGATTTTTCAAGTGCTGGCTTTACCTCTTGACAGGATACAAAGGAAATATTTAAATAACTTAATATGTTCAACCAGGAATTAATTTATGTATTGAGGGTCTAGCGTGTGCCATGAGCTTTGCTGGACGTTGGGAATATAATGGTCACTAGCAATTGGTTCCTGGTTTTACAGAATTTACCAGACACAGAAAGAGATGGGTGACTATGCAAACACCTATGGGAATGGCGTATGGGTCAACCCAAACTGGAGGTGGACAGAAGCCTATCCAAAAGAAACGATGCCTGAATTGATATGTGCTTAGGATTTAGCTCATTGAGAAGTGATGAAGAGTTCTGCATAAAGGTCAAAAAACACATAACAAACATCCTGGGAGAAGGGAGAACGTAGTTTGTTGGGGCAATTGTGAGTGCTTCCATGGTAACTCCTGTGGTTCACTTATTTATTCATCCATCCATCCATCCACCCACCCACCCATCCATTTATGTTGGAGTAGCTACAGAGACAAGTAAGACTCAGGCTCTATGCTGGATTGGGACAGGAAGATGAGTCGAACTTTGTTGGGAGAGAAGGAAGAATTAGCAAAGATACTGATGTTAAGATGTATACAATGTGATGAAGCACAACCCTGGGGACACCCTCTAGCAAATTCGTGTACTTTCTTCAATGGCATACACTGCGCTTTTCCAGTCAATGAAAAATAGACATTGAAAGTTAACTATCAGGCATTGATCAATGTACTGTATATACCAAAAGGAAGGAAGTCTGTTACAGATCTCTATTACGGCATGCCCCATTGGCTCTCACTCTCTGCATGCCTTCTTAGGGTAAACTGTGAGCCCCCTAAGAGTGACCCATAACTCATTCTTCTATACAGCCCACCCAGCAGTGCCTGAAAGCCAGCATGGAATATATGGTTATGAAAAGACTGAAGTTTTCAATATTCAATAGTGGTTACTAATCTTTCTTCCCAAGAAAAATCACCAAGCCGTAGCTAAAGGACACATGGCCCATGAGCCGTGCTGCCTCTTGTTTTTTGGGACCCATAGCATGATGAGGTGCTTGGGGTCCAGAACAAAGGCTTTTTCCTTCGATAACCTGAGGTTGCATGTGTGGTTCGTAAGGTCAAGAGCAAGCAGGCAGGAGAGACCAGCAAATGTGAACACCCTTTGCTCCATGTCTCTTCTAGAGTAGGCTCTCAGCAAAGCTCCTTAAAGATGGCTCTCTACTTCGACATCTGCTTCCCCTCCCACAGTAACTGGATGGCACAATGCCGGGCAGAAACTACGGAATGGTCCGAAAGGTTGACATTTTTAATTTAGGTTATTGGCTTCAAGAACTTGAGCACATATTGACCCTTCAGAGAGGCAAAGACTTTGTGCTTTTTTTAAAAAAAAATTATAACTAGCACAGAGCATATTAAATACCTCTTGTCTGGTCTCTTGGGCCCCAGCTTCCCTTCCTCCAATGTGTTCTCCATCCCAAAGGCCTGGTCTGGTTCAGAAGCAGTACCTTGTAGCGGTTCAAAGCAAAATCTTCAGTGTCTAGGACTCTAGGAGATCTGGATTCCAATCCTACTTCCTGTGCTTCTTGACCGTGGGAACTTAGGCAAACTATTGCCTCTAGAGCAGTGGTTCTCAACCTTCCTAATGCCGTGACCCTTTAATACAGTTCCTCATGTTGTGGTGACCCCCAATTTCATTGTTACAAATTGAACATAATTGAAGCATAGTGATTAATCACAAAAACAATATGTAATTATATATGTGTTTTCCGATGGTCTTAGGCGACCCCTGTGAAAGGGTCGTTTGACCCCCAACGGGTCGCGACCCACAGGTTGAGAACCGCTGCTCTAGACACCTTGCTTCTGTAGGTGCAATGTGCACATAATGATGATTCCCTTCTCCACGTGGTGAGAGTGGAGGGTTAAGGATGAACAGGGCTTCACCCAAGGCAGGGGAAGCTGAGGGCCTGACATCGATGCCACTCCTCCCTCAGGAAAACCCTTCGGTGGCCGCATTCCTTCCAAGATAAAGTCCAACCCCCCTGTGTGACACAACAGGCCCTCCAGGACCTAGTCTCCGTGTCCTCTCTCCCAGATCCTTCTTCGCCGCCTTGCCTTGCGCTCACCGAGCGACCACCAGCTCCCTGGACTGCTGTTTCGCTTCCCTGTGCCATGCGGTTCTTTAGCCTGAGAGGCCACCTCCCGCATGCCTCTGCTCTGGAAATCCCGCTCCCGCATCTCTTCCTCCATGAGGCTTCTCCCGGGCTGAAGGAAACGCTTTTCTCGTATTTCCAGCACGCGTTAACGTTAACT